AACCTTTTGAATTCATGATCTTTTTTCCAAATTGTGAACTTTTTTCAAAATCGGTTGTGATTTCGTGAGAGGCACGGGCGTGCTTCTTTTGAAAAGGGGAAAAACCCGTGCTCTCGGTTTGGGTTTTTTCTGAAAGAAAAGTTCATTAAAACCTATCAATATGGGATCTAGTTTTAAAGATCTCGACGCGATGAATCCGACGGTGAAAACGGTTCGAGATTTGGACGCACGGTTTGAGAGATAAAACGTTTTGAATAAATGAATCTATGAAAAAAGAAAAACTTCCCTGTTGCGACAGGTGGCGCGCTGCATGTCCGCCACTTGTCGCAACTAGGGAAATTGGACTGATTTTTGCAACAAGTACTCTTAATTAAATTTCGAGCGACAAGCGCCTCGTACGATCGACATGCAAGACTAGCTAACGAGGGATTTTGTCTATAAAAAGACTAGCGAACGGTGGGAGGAGTGCCTCGTACGATCAATCGATTAAAAAAGTCACGCACTTTTTTTTGAAGAAAAAAATCATGCGCTAGTGCACTACTGCTATAAGACAACGAGCATCCTCACAATTAACCGTACGAGGCGCTCTGGACGCTCGGCAAATTGTCCAGGTTTCGCACAGGGAGATCGAGGGAACGTTCCAGCTGGGCTAGCCCATTTAACCGTTTCAACGCGCCCGGTTTTGGGAACCTTCTAGAGGTGCCCAGCCGGTTTTTTCTGGTTTTGGGAAACTTCTCGAAGGTTCCTAATCTGGTTTTTTTTTCTTGTTATGTTTTTTTCCGCTTTTCCTATTTTTTTTCTTTTCTCTCCTTTTTCAATTTTCTGTTTTTTTCCTTTTGTTTCTATTTCGTTTTTTCACTTTCCTTTTTTATTTTATCATTTTCAATTCTATTGTTTTCTTCAATTTATTATTTTCTTAAATAAAATCGTAGTGTTTTACTGTTTGTTCATAAATCCCAAAAAAATTCAGAATTTGAATCCCATAAAATGTTCCTGTTTTTCAAGTTTTGTTTACGTATTAAAAATTGTTCGAGCATTTCAAAAAATATTCAGGTTTCAAAATTGTTCAATGGGTTCTCAAATTTTCAAGAAATGATCACTTGTTTCAAAATGTGTTTGCTTTTATAAAAAAAACGAAAATTGAAAATATGTTCACATTGTTAAATAAATGTTCCCATGCTAAAAAAAGTGGTCACAATTGGAAAATATGTTTTAAATTCGAAAATGTAAAAAATATAAAACTGCTCGTTTTCTAAAGAATATGGAATTTCAAAATTTGTTAGCAATGTTCAAAATATGTTCGCGATGTTCACATTTTTCTGATATTTGTTCAATAATTCAAAATATGTTCAGGTGTTTTCCAAAAATATTGGTGGTTTTAAAGTTTTTCAATCCCAAAAAATGTTCCTGCTTTTCAAATTTTGTTCACGAGTGAAAAATCGTTTGAGAATTTAAAAAAATATTCATGTTCCAAAATCGCCAAGGGGTTTCCAAATTTTCAAGAAATGATCATTTTTTAAAAAAATTGTTCGCTTTTACAAAAAGGAAAGTTGAAATTTTGTTCACATTGTTAAAAAAATGTTCGCATGTTCAAAAAAGTGTTACAATTGAAAAATATGTTCAGGATTTGAATGATGTGAAGAATTTCGAAAATGTTCTTTTTCTAAACAATATTGAATTTCAAAATTTGTTCACGATGTTCAAAAAATGTTGGAACTTTGAAACATTTGTTCACGATTTTGTTCGAGCATATCTTTGAAACATTTTGCCAGAATTCAACACCTTATAAAATCAAAGGTGTTGAATTCTGGCAAAATGGCTAGTTCTTAGATATTAGCGCTGCAAATTAGTCTTTTAAGATTATTAGCTCAGATGGCTATGGGAGCACTTCATTACCGCGAGGTCTACAGTTCGATTCCCTCTATGGCTCGTTATTTTTCTTATTTTTGCTACAGTACCAGCATGGCTTTCCATCGCGCTTACAGCCAGCACCCGCACCCGCACCCGTCTGCCATGGGCCGGCCCATTCGCTGCGTATCATGTGCGAAGCGACGTCCTTTTACCGCAAAGTGCGGCTTATAGGAGGGAAAATCTTATTGGACGCACATTGCATCAAACTGCGGGCGCTTCGCACTACTAGCGACCGAGCAGCGACGCGCTGGGCCGGCCCAGTGCACGTACCAAGCCAACCGGTTTTGGGAACCTTCTAGAAGGTTGCCTAAGCCGGTTTTCTTGTTTCTTTTACCAGTTTATCTGTTTCTTTTTTTCTGTTTCTTTTTCTAATTTCCTCCTTCTTTTCCTTTTTGCTTTTTTTTGTTTTCTAGTTATTTTTTTAATGTTATTTCATTTTTTTAAACTAAGTACATATTCAGATTTGTTCTTAATTTTTTAATTTTTGTTCTTCTTTTCGTTTTTAGTTATTTCTTTTCTTCATTTTTGTTTTTTTTTTGTTTTCTTTCTTTGGTTTGTTATTTCTTTTTCTTTTCCTTTTCTCCGCTTTTCTATAAAAATATTCAAATTTTGTTTGTGTTACCTTAAATGTTCAGTTTTCAAAAAATATGTTCTCAGAATTCAAAAATTGTTCTCGTTACACGAAAAAGTTCAAAACTTTCAAAATTCATATAATGTACCAGATTTCATTTTTTTGTTCATGTTTTCAAAAACTGTTCGCGCTTCCAAATTTGTTAAGGATTTTCCAAATTTGTTCTTCGTCTCAAAATTTGTTCAAAATATTCAGACAATGTTTGTGCTTTAAGAAATTGTTCGCGCTCCCAAATTTGCTCCGTTTCAAAATTTGTTCTCAAGATTCGAAAAAAAAATGTTTGTACTTTAAAAAATTGTCCGTGCTTTCAAATTTGTTCTCCATTACAAAATTTGTTCTCAAGATTCAAAAAATATTCGTTCTTTAAAAAATGTTCATGTTCAAATTATGTTCTCGATTTCAAAATTTTGTTCTCTAAATTTTAAAAATATTCGGGATTTTAAATCAATTTCGAAAAATGTTCTCTTTTTTTGAATTTTGTTCCTTTTTTCACAACTGTTTTGAGGTTCCCCAAAAAAGTTTGTGTTTTTAGAAAATGTTCCGGTTTTGAAATTTTGTACAAAATTTCAAAAAAATATTATTTTGTAATAAATACTCGAAATTCAGAAAAAAGTTTGTGCTTTTAGAAGTACTTAATTTATGAAAAATGTGCAGTTATAAATTTTCTTTCAGCTTTTGAAAAAATGTTTCCATATTCAGAAAAGTACTTGGTTTTGTGAACTGGTATTTTAAGATTATGGAAAGTACTTAGTTTTGTGAAGTGATATTTTAAGTTTTGTCGCTACTGTTAGTTTCTTTTAGGTTTGCGCTGCCAATTTAGCATAAGAAGTAGCTAGCAGCGCATACATCAGTAGGATGACACGGGTTTGATTCCCAGCCGATGCAATCCTTTTTGCAATTTTTACCTCACGAACGCCGCGCTCCCGCAAGATGGGCCGGCCCAGGTAAGCAGCTCCTGTGCGAAGTGCCGACTTCTTGCCACAACGAGCGGGGTATAGGAGGTCTCGTATAGGAGATCCCTCACCCGTGCATGAACAACGCTGCTGCGATCACCGACAATTCCTATTTAGCGCTGCAGGCGCCGGTTTCTACTGTTTTTGCTAACTGGCGCCTACAGCAGGATCTTGTGGGCCGGCCCATCTTTCATTTTTCTTCCGCCTTCTACAAGCTATGGAGAACAGCAAAAACACACCGCGAGCTGGGATTCGAACCCAGCGCCACGGATTATCAGTGTTCATGGGGTGACCAACCCGACTACCTCACTAACTGTGATAACAAACAAGTTTTTCATCCATTTATATCATCCCTTTTTTCCTTTTTTTTTTTCTTTTTTCTCTGTTCTTTTCTTCTTCTTTTTCCAAATTCGTAATTGTTTTCTTCAAATAGATGAACTTGTTTTCAAAATCCATGAACTGTTTTCTGAAACTCTTGAACCTTTTTCAAAATCGATGAACTTATTTTTCAAATTTGATGAACTTTTTCATTTTTTTTAAATTTTTCTCAAAATCAATGAACTTTTTTTCAACGTTGATGAACTTTTTTCAAAATTGATGAACTTTTTCCAAATCCGATGAACTTTGTTAAAATTGATGAACTTTTTTCAAATTCAATGAACTTTTTTATTCAAATCGATGAACTACTTTCATTGTTCGATGAACATTTTTGAAAATGATGAACTCTTTTGAATCTGTGAACTTGTTTTTGAATACATGAACCTTTTTCAATTTAGATAAAAAATTTCCAAATCCGATGAACTTTTTTCAAATTCGATAAACATTTTTATTCAAATTGATGAACTTTTTTTATTCAATTTGATGAACTAATTTTATTGTTCGATGGAATTTTTTTGAAAATCAATGAACTCTTTTGAATATGTGAACTTTATTTTGGAATACATGGACTTTTTTTGATTTGGTGAACTATTTTTTGAATACGCGAACTTTTTTTGCATGTGCATGAACTTCATTTATTATATGTGCACATGCTTTTAAATAATTGAAAAATCTAAACGCTACAGTGTAATGCGAAATTAATAGTGCGTCTATGTTTCTATTCTTTAAAATGTTCACGCTCTAAAGAATCACTACAATTTGGCTGGTCAAGTGGTTAGCCGAGGGCGCGAGATCGATCTCGATAGCGTGCCCAATCGGGCCAGGTGCGCCTACTCGGGCCGTGCCTGGGCCTGAGAGGCCAGAACGCGTGCCAGCCCGGCACGGCCCGAGTACTTACCGTGCCAGGTCGGGCCGTACCGGGCCCGTTTAACCCAGGTCGGGCCGCGCCGGGCCGGCCCGGCCCATTTGGCCAGGTTTGGCCTCGCGCGAGGGACGCGTTGTCTCTCTCTATATATATCAGCAGCGCCCCCGAATCCCCCCTCAACAATTAAAAAGGAAAAAAAGAAAAACAGCGCCCCCGAATCCCTAGCTTCCTCGAATCATAAAATCCCCAAATCGCCACAATCATGCCGTATCCTGCCGCCGTCGGCGCCGGCCACCCTCCCCATCACGAGCGGCCCTTGTTGACCGCTGGCTCCGACAGCAACGCTCACTCCTCCTCCTCCTCCTCCTCCTCCTCCTTGGACAAAAGCGAGTGGCGGCCTCGCTCTCCCGTGCCCGCGGACCCTTTTGCGCCGGAGTACTTGGACGAGCTGGCCGGGTACTTCGTCGAGGCGGCTGGCCGCCTCCCCATCGCTCAGATCCCCTTCCTGGCCTGCTGCATGAGAGATTTCGGTCTCGCCATCGGCTTCGCCGACCCCGTCACTAACATCATCCTCACCACCATCGACGCCTTCGCCCACGCCAAGCCCTACATGATGCGTCCGGTGGACCACATACCGGTAGAGCAAACCAGGAACAAGACGACCTTCGCCGACGGTGCTCGCAGCTCCTGGATTGCTCTAAACTGGTTCTTGGTTACCTATTTTCGGCACCTCACCGTGCCTCTAGCCGTCCTTCTACTCCGTAAAGCTAGCTATGACCTCCGGGTTGCCGTCGAAGCCGTTCACTTCCATGTTGATGGTCCTAACTATCTTGAGCTACTTGCCCTGGATTCTGTTAGGACCAAGACAGCATTTGAGGAGGCGGTTTACCCACAGTCTTCTGCGCCCGAACTCTTGCGTCTAATGACATCGAGTTACAGTCGTTTTCTGGCCGAGCCTGTCCTAGAAGATCTGCACCGAGGGGGGCAGCTCACCGCTGACTGCGTCTACAAGGTCAGCGAGTTGCTGCGCCATCCATGGTCACCGCCGCCGCCGTCACACCCCCCTCCTCCTAGTCCTGGTATTTTTAGGGATGACGACGGCAGCCTCACCATGACTGTCCGCATTGGAGATGATTTCGCCACAACACACATCTCAACATATGGTGTCGCCACAACCACTTTCACCTCATCTTGTCCGACTTATGCCGGTTTCTCGGAAAACACAACCAACATGTTAAGTATGTTCCCTACCCACCATGGGAGGCTAATCAACCAGAGAGAGTTCTTCTCGGAGACCTTGGAGACTCCAGAATTTCTGCCGTTTCTCAAGTTGCAACTTCTTGATATGATCCATGGTGTTTATCTGAAGGCTATTGCGATGCTACCGGTTCATGCTCTACGCAATGGCCACCTGCTCCACTCGCTAGTAACAGCCGGTCACTGCTATGGACCGTTGGACCCTGTGTCCAATATTGTCATCAACACAGTCTGGTATGATGTTGTCTTCCCGCTCTCCAAAGATGTCGCTTTTGAGGTTGGAGCAGCGGATATTCTTGATGTCCGCTCCATGCACCGTGTTGAATCCCGTTCAATCGACGGCCTGGTTGCCTACCTCCGCAGATCCCCCTCAACAAATGAGCAAGATGCTGTGACAATGCTTTGCAAAAAACGTTTGAACACCCCAATCTTGGACTTATACAATATGTGTGATGTGGCACTGGCCGCGAAACACCCCCAGCCTGCTGCCTTTGGGGCATTCCTTGAACGTGCGTCCATTCTACAGTTATACGACCGATACTGCCTTTCTAGGGTCCATGGACATCCAGATTCTGCTTTTGAGGAGCTAAAGATGGCTCTACTCCAGGAAACAACCCGTGTTGCTGTACCAGTGCAACAATGTGCTCATGATATGGACAAATCAACAGCTTTCCTGTGGTTAAACAGCATGTCAAGCCAAAAAACAGCATTGGTGACGCTGTCCGAAAAGAGGCTTTCATTCAGGTCTCGGCAAGATATTTTTCGCAGAGTGTTGGAACATTTGCTGATCGACTATGGCTACAGGGGTCCCCTGGTATGTACATACTTTTGTCCTGCCCATTTAATTACTGCAGCTATATATATTTCCAATGTGAATCGAGTGGGACTATATGCATTTACTTTGTTATTTAAGAAATTATGTTGCTGTGTAGTTTTCTCTTTTTAGACTTTTACTAGTGGTTGGGAGCCTGAGCCGGTACTGGGCGGTGCCAGGTAGGCAACAGCCCTTTCTGGTGCTTGAGGCAGTGCTCTGCGTGCATGTCATTTTGTTTGTATAATGTGAACACATGTTGTAGTGCACCACAAAAACAGCTTCTAGAAAGTAATTCAACATCATAGCATCATTTAAGGTGATGGCCTTAAGAAGTCAAAAGAGGTAACATATCTTCCAAGTGTTAAGATAGGACTGCAGAAAAGTGATTCCATACTTGTTAATTTTTTTATTAACTGCTTAACAGGACATTCAGAACATCAGTTTTCTCATATAGCACAACAGCATAATACTCCTATAATTTAAGGATACATAAATGCAGCGTAATATAACTTTAAGGATACATAAATGCTCAGTAATCTGACACTATCCATCATACCTAACCTGAAAATATAGAACAAGTATCACCATATGGACCACTTACACATAGAGAACTGTTCATATAGAGCTTTAGCAAAAGAAAGGAAGGCAAACAGAAGATTGGCATTAACACATGGAACGGATTGCTCCATGCCAACTTATTCTGCCAGAGGGATAATTTCATAAATACAAATCATTAACAAAAGGAGAAAAAACAACACTATTTTTGTATCATTGACCCTTTTGATTTCAAAGAAAGAGCATAACTACTCTGGAAACAGAGTAGTATAAACACTGAACTTTCTCTTGGGTCCTTTACTGAAGAAGGGAGCTATTCATCCAGCATATAGAAAAATGACCTACACTCCTGAAATAAACTGATCGATACGTTAACTTCATAATTTCCTGGTTGTGGCATTACCCTTACATTGAATCACACATCGGCAGGTGAAATAATACTCATTTTCTAAGCATCCATTAGATAGACATACTAAAAAAAATACCAAGCAGACATTTAACCTTTGAGCCATTACCTTACAATGAGATGTATGTGAGATCCATGTGTAAAGCTGTGGACATTGAACAAGTCCAAATAGGAGGTGTAGAAGATTACTAAATCATATGATGCATCAGAAAGTCTCTTTTTTCAAACATGATGAATTTGCAATACATGTTATTAACGAATCATGAGAGGATCTACCTGCAAGAGTAAATTTACTTTGAATAAACAGTAAGATCATCCCCAACTTAGAATGTGTTCCAAATTTCAAAACATAAAGGTCCGGTTATTACCTGCTAGAACAGGAACATTTCGGTAGTCTTGTATACAGCGTCATCCTCTCCCTCTAGAATGCACCTGAAGTGAAAAAGCAAAGGGTAAAATCAGATGCGCCAGAACCAAACAAGAATTTATCTGCTCTAGATATTCAACATCTGGGCTGGGAAGGGGGCACAACTACTGGGAACCTTAGGGGTGCATACCAAAACCCATAGAGAACTCTTAAGAGGTAGAGAGAGAGACCTGGAATCCTCTATTCGACTGTTTGTGCTGCCTTCTCGACGCAGAGATCACAATGGCGAGGACGCTGATGGTGCAGCTGGGCATCTTTACCCTGTGCTACAGCGTAGATGAGCGCCAGACCGGACTACTCCTTTAAGGCCACCGGTGCACCGGCTGTTGAATGATTGGAGATGGCTAGCGCGCCACTTGGGAGAGGAAAAGGCGTGTGTGGGGGATGCGCGCATCGAGGATGAGCTCCTCGCCTCCGCGGTCACCGCCTCCAGCCAATCCGCTCATCGGCCGATCCGGTGGAAGGGGAGGACCAAAAAGGAGCACGCTAGCTGTGGCGTGGTCGCATCGCTGGATTGAGTAAATTTTGGGGGGATGGGAGGTGAGGTGTGACGATAGAGAGGGGAGACATGACCAGAGGGAGGAGGCGTGCCTACAAAGGAAAGCCAGTGTGCGTGGGGAAGAAAGGGAGATGGGCGTGCGGCTTGATGTGCCCAAACCCCAAGTTGCACCACACACCCAATTACCGATAGCCAGGTGGCTTTGGGAGAGAGGCATGGCAGGTTGGGGGGGGGGGGTCAATGGGGACAACATATGCCCTTACTAGGCTCTACCTTTGCTGGACCGTGTGCAGCATGTATCAGGGAACATTGTTTTTACGCTGCCAGGGCGCCTTATCGCCTAAGCGTCCAAGGCAGGATGCCTTAAAAACAATGTCAGGGAGGCATCCTATATGTATCTGAATTAAAATTATATTGCTGTATTCCCCAATACGTATCGGGGACGTATCTAATACATATGGATATGCTAATCCCTCGAAGTATGGTGCTGTCTGCTGTGTAGATCATGGTTGTCCAGCTAGTCTGTTTAGTTTTAATTAATTACTGCAGTTTGTTTTTACCATCTTACTTCCAAGATGCTTAATTTTTCACCTTCATGCTTTTTCTAGGAACCACTATACAAGCTCGGTGTCATCTGTGGAGTGACGAGAAAAAGAAACTACAGCTGCACAGATGTTTACCATGCCAATTTTTTGGCTAGCTCAGATGGTGGATCATCATGGAAGCTGTTCTTCGCTGAATTCTGGAACCTACCCGATGAGAGACTTGAAGAATCAAAAAATCCTTTCTGCTGCCCTGTACCGGATTACCATGAATATCCCGGTAAGCTCTTATCAGCACCAGTAATTGAACTCTTGTATGAATTGTGATGGTTAGGGTATACATATATCGACAACATTAAATAGTTTGGAACTTCTTAACTTGAGGCTCGATCCTAACTCACAAATTAATTATCATGTCAAAAAAAAAGAGACAGCCTGATATTTATCTTGTTCATTTTTTATTTTCGAAACAGGTCGCTGCGTTGTTTGCGAGAATGATTCAAGTATCATCATGCATCCACAATCGCGCAAGTATTACATGGGCAACTCCACACTTGCATTTCCGACACCAGGACACTGCGGGGGTGATACAAGTGAGAAATTGGACTTTGACTTTATTTACTTAACTCTATAGAAGGTGGAGGAGGAGTATGCGGTGGACTTGTGGTATGTTGTAATTTACTTCAGTTTATTTACTTCCGTTGTTTAGCTTGAAATATTGTGAGATGGCGGTGTACATTGCAAATCCTCACACCTTGTTATTGAACTATAATTTTGCATGTTTTGATCTTATATATCAAGGCGTGCATCTGTAATTCTATGTTGCCCCCATTGTCGAACGATAGCTGTTAACATCTTGCTATCTTTTATAATGTGCAGGCTGCAGCAAGGAAAGGAGGGAGTGACTGTTCTTCGTCTGCAGCAATCTCTCACGTGGCAACTGGTGGAGGGAATGAGCATGTCGCTGCGGGCCATGCTCTGGAATTTAGTTTCTTATAGCCCTCTTGTTAGTTCACCTGAACTGAACTTGCCAGACATATCTTGTAGTTTCAGTATTTGCTCAGAACCATGTGTTTGGAATCTTTATGGGCCATGATGACATTTGATATATCAGTTCTAGCCTATATACTATGATTTCCTCTATTTGTTTCATGTCTCAAACAAACTTGATTATGGAGTTGTGAGGCCATGAGGTAGCTGCACCACATTATTGAATTTCTTTGTGTTTGGTGTGATGTCATCTTAGTTCTTTTATTGGAAATTTTATTCTCCGAAAGAACAGAACAAAAAAAGAGCCAAAAAAAGAGCTGGGGATTTTCTTTGAGAATACAGTACAGAGGCAGACGCTTATATGTACATACATACATTTATTTACATACATTTATTAAATATTGAGATTGACAAAGTCAGGCGCGTACTAATCGATAGAAATATCTCTTTCCACTGAACGCCCATCGCCGAAATTTTGAAATAAATGTAGGAAAATGCGAGGCTTGACGGGAAGACACCACATGCCCCTAGTAGTCGACGGGAACGTCACCACATTGCCCCTATTAGTGGATGGATCGTCTCCTTTCACTGAACGCGCATCATCGGAAATCTTGAAATAAATCCAGGAAATTGCGAGGCTCGACGGGAATGTCTCATTCCACTGAGCACTTCCCGTCTCATTCCACTGAGCACGCACATCGTCGGAAATCTTGAAATAAATCCAGGAAAATGCGAGGCTCGACGGGAACGTCTCATTCCACTGAACGTGCATCACTGGAAATCTTAAAATAAATTAACAAAATGCGAGCAACAGGACTTGAACCCCCATGGCCTGGGGATGTCACCGTCCTCCTAACAATCCAACCACAGGTTGGTTGGTAAAGAGCTTGGCGAGAATCTCTCCTCCCACTGATCACACATCGTCGAAAATCTTAAAATAAATTCAGAAAAACGCGAGCACCGCGCAGTAGTCGATCAGAACGTCTCCTTTCACTGAACGCGCATCACCGGAAATCTTGAAAAAAATCCAGGAAAATGCGAGGCTCGACGGGAACGTCTCCTTCCACTGAGCGTGCATCGCCGAAAACCTTAAAATAAGTCAAAAAAAATGCAAGCACAAGGACTTGAACCCTGGTGGGCTGGGGATTTTATATTATAAGGACATCATCAACGCTGACGTGCAAATTTGTTTCGGCATCTGTCCACGGATGTGGGACCAGTCCGTGGACACGGTTGAGGGAGTGGATCATCCAGCACTGCCTGCATACATTTCAACCACTTTTGAACTAACCGGACGAAATTCATGCAACCATGGCAGATTTCATATAAACTGAACGAAAGTCATTACATTTTAAACATTTGTCACATAAACCAGACGAAATTCATTACACTTTTCATTTAAACCGGACTAAACCCTACTTTAAATGACCGACAACGCCCGTTCCCCATGTTCGGCCATGAGCCCCAAGAACTGAAGCTCTGGCTATTGCCTTCGCCTTCTCCAGTTCTACTTCGCTGCTCTCCAACTTCGCCTCCATAACCTTGGCCTCTGGAGCCCCGGGAAGTGAAGTTGTCCGTCACCATGTCACCCGCCAAGCGGCTAACGGTCAACGATATCCAGCCCACCAAGCTTGGCTTCAATGGGAAGGGAAGAGCGGCAGCCTTCTTGGGACCCGAGCGGTGGCGACCTACCATGCACTACTCTTCCTCGCTGCCAGCGATGCCTGCGGACGTGTCGGCTTTGTGGTCGTAGCGGCGGGGTGCGACCGGGGCGGAGCTGGCGATGTCCTCCTCATTTTCGCTCTTGCCCCATACCTCATCCGCCGCCTCGTCGAACTTCCTGTAGTTGGCCGCCAATTCCACTTGATACGGGTGGTGCAGCCAGCGATCGCGACGGATGTCACGGGCGGGGCGGTAGGATTCAATCAGCGCCTCCTTCTCCGCCACGTCAATGGCCGACGCGATGGCCGTGCCAACGGCGAGTTACTCCTCCACACACCAGTGCTCCTCGAGGAGGCCAAGGTTGTAGGCCTGGTCGGCCTGCGCCGGTCAGAAGTTGGCCTCCTCCTCCTCCTCCTATAGCATGTCCATGTCGTACGCACGGTCCTCACCGACGGCGAGGCCCGCACGCACCATGTTGGAAATATTCCCTGGAGGCAATAATATTTGTATTATTATATTTCCATATTCATCATTATAGAGTTTATATTCTATGCTATAACTGCTATGATCCTGGAATATGCGATTCAGTGAAAAAATCATATGCACGTGTGGAATGATAAACAATAAATATAAAGATCCCTAGTCTCGCCTCTAGGACTAGCTCAAGTGTTGTTGGTGATCACGTTTTCCGCATCTTAGGGTATCGTTAAGTGTAATGATAGTCCTAAATAAATTGTCATTATGACCTTGGAAGAATGATCATACTGAAGCGACTCAATCTTGTTTGTTATGAATTGAGTTAATATCGTCTGTATTCAATTGTAATAATATGGAGTGTTAACGTGTGACTTTGCTCCCTAGACCATGAGAGTATTATAGTCTTACCGTACGGTCGGCTTTGGGGCTGCTCAAATGCCACCTGTATGTAACACAATGATCATAACGACAACTTACAGGTTCATCAAAAAGTTTGACAAGGGACAAGATAGCTCGAGAGTGGGACTTGCTCCTCTGACAATGGAGAGATATTCTTAGGACCCTCTTGGTGTGATGGCATCAATCATCGGCTGACCATACACATGTGACTTCGTCACAGGGATGCGGGAACACAATCACGTGAAAGAAGAACAAAACCGGTAATGAGGATTTCAGTATAATGAGCATGCTGATGAGTCAGGAGGACATTGATGCTTCCCAAGTTTTGTGAAGTATCGCGAAGCAAAGGGACGTCACATGATAACCAAAGGTTCACTCGATTATAATTCATGTACTCATGGGGACCGATACGGACGTCCACGGTCCCGATGTCAGTCATTGAACGAACGGTTTTGTTCATGTCTATGAGTTACCGAACCTACGGGGTCACATGCTTAAGGAAATAATGATAACCTGAGTCTTAGTAGGACAGGAGTCATGAGAATATAGTTTTGAAATTATTTCATGAATATTCAGAATAGTTCTGAGAGGATCCGAAAGCGTTTCGGGGGTCACCGGAAGGGTTTCAAAGAGTACGGGGTAATACCGGGTATTACCGATAAATTATATATTGGTGAAAAGTGTTTTCGGAGGTGTTAAAAAATATATAAAATGTCTGAAAGTATTAGAACATTTTATATTTAATTTAAATATCAACGGGCCTAAAAAGGCCAAGAGGTGGAAGGCAACTTGGGCCACAAATGCCCAAGTGTAGAGGCGCCTCCTTCCCTAAGGAAGGAGGCCGAATTGGACAAGGGGGAAGAATCCTCCTCCCCCTCCTAGGCCGGCACCCTGTCGGTGTCAAAACCGGCAGATCTCGGGTAGGGGGTCCCGAACTGTGCGTCTAAGGCTAATGGTAACAGGAGGCGGGGGACACGATGTTTACCCAGGTTCGGGCCCTCTCGAGCTTGATTGATCTTGATGATATGAGTATTACAAGAGTTGATCTACCACGAGATCATATAGGCTAAACCCTAGAAGCTAGCCTATGATTATGATTGTTGTTGTCCTACGGACTAAACCCTCCAGTTTATATAGACACCGGAGGGGGCTAGGGTTACACTGAGTTGGTTACAGAGAAGGAGATCTACATATCCGGATGGCCAAGCTTGCCTTCCACGCAAAGGAGAGTCCCACCCGGACACGGGACGAAGTCTTCAATCTTGTATCTTCATAGTCCAACAGTCCGGCCAAAGTATATAGTCTGGCTGTTCGAGGACCCCATAATCCAGGACTGCCTCAGTAGCCCCCGAACCAGGCTTCAATGACGATGAGTCCGACGCGCAGATTGTCTTCGGCATTGCAATGCAGGTTCTTCTCCAAAATCCCTGAGTACCTGTTGTAACGAGCAGTGTCGGGCTTCCCATTAATGTTGCACTCCTCGGCTTCTGTGCTTTAATAATGGCTATCTCCACGTGTCGAGCGAATGCGAGAAGTCGGGGCATTTTTACATTTGCCACCCTGACCATGTAAGTAAATTGTCTATTTAAAGAGACGGGGATCCTCAGATCCAAATCACACCATCCTCCCCCAGCGAGTATTCATCAGAGCGCGCCCGGAAGAAGCCATATCATCATGGCCGACCGTCACAGCTCCTCCTCTCGCTCCCGTAGCACTGAGCCAGGCGATTGGGAGAAGTGTTTTGTCCCCCATAGCCGATTGGTAGAGTTGCAGACCTAGGGGTTTCTCCCGCCTGTGTACATGGTCCCCGTCCGAGCCGGACTAGCCACTTATAATGGCGGGGAGCAAGCGGAGAGTTTTCCCAACCCATCCAAGGGGGAGAGGGTATGCCTTGTCCCTTATTTGCTGAGGGGACTCGCATTTCCAATCCATCCGTTCCTCTGCGGGCTCTTGGAGTTCTACGGCCTCCAGCTGCATAACTTCACTCCTGCCTCCATACTACATATCGCAGGCTATGTCGCCTTCTGCGAGCTATTTCTGGGCTACGAAGCTCATTTCGAGCTATGGAAGAGGCTATTCTGCCTCGTACCCCGCACGCAGGAGGGG